GGGTATGGACGGAACTGTCAATATAGCATTAAAAGTTTTAGTATTGGTGTTTTTACTCATTTTAATCCGACTTATATCGTAGTTTAGCTTGTAGATTATTAAAAATATGGTAGAATATTCTATTTAATACTCGTTAGCTGAAGGAAGTCAGTAGTAAAGATGATATTTGAAAGTTGTGATACAGATGGCGACAGTCCCGCTGCTTCCCTCGTAACTCCCTGTATCCGCGAAATTTTAAATTTATTACTCTTGATATTTACTAGTAAACTGTAAGAAATTCCTGAGTTATGTGACTATATTTTTCCGGGAATGCTATTGGAAGTTCTTTACCAATACTGTTTTAGTTTCAAGTGAATTTAGAAGTTTTTGAAAATAAATAGTTGTCTTTCGTAAATGTTCGCTTCTCTACTCTTCTCGGGGGCTAAACACGACATACAAAACTTTACAATTCAATCATAAAAACCCAGTGTATCAAACTATTAAAAAACAACATTGGATATAAGATCTTGGTCGTTTACGTGGTATAAATACCTAAAGGGCGAGAATGCCTGTTATAAAAGGAAACATAAGCACGCTGAAGACCAAAATACAGTAACCATGGAATGAGCTCTCCCAGGTGACCTTGCCAACATGGGTGTGGTAATAAGAGGGACAGCTCCACACACTATACTAACACTATAATACAATTTTCTTTTCTCAGTCCTACAACTCTCCCGGGAATAAGACCGCGAGAAACCGATCTGTGATGTGGCAACTATGTGGAAACTATTTTGTATTTCTTTTATAAATTTTTTTTTGACACTTATGTATATCTTACGTAATGCAATTGATCAAATACTAAAGAGAAATTATTTAATAACTAATGTAATTAATAGTACCAGTATGTTATTAACCTTACCAGATACCAATAACTTACGTAGGTCTTAACTTATATACACTGAATTCAATGATCATTACACGGTGTTATTATATCAATGGATTAATATACAGGTGTTCGCGAGAGGACCTAACCTAACCTCACCTAACCTAACCTAGCCTAATCTATGACACGAAAACAAGTTAAAAAACAACCACAAGCCAATAATATTTACAATACAAACAAGTGGTTGTTGACTCAGCAGTTACCTAGCACCAGTACCCGAGTGACGGAGGCTGTTATAACACAGTACATCAAGAGGCTACACGAACACGATAGCCTCATGTGAATTCTATTTTGGTTTTATATATCTATCAAACAATTAACCGCAATGGATTTTTTTTCATTGACTAAGCTACATTAATTCCTTCTCACAGGTCTATAAAACTTAGGGTAGAATATGTCATAAAGAGTGATAAAATGGTATAATTTATCATAGCTCCCGTAGTGATGAACTTAGACGGTAATCTCTGAAGGTCTCACTATAATGCTCTGAACTGTGGCTGTTGATAATATTACACAGTTTGTACTTTGTAAAAATCATCTTTAAATCTAAATGAAGTAAAGATACATAAAATATTAGTAATATAACGAGTGCAATATAACCCAAACCAGCCTCTCAGATGATGAACCAACCGAAGAAATAACTAGCAAGGGACTATGATATAAAACAATAAAAATAAAATGAATTCTGATGTGGTTTCAAATATCAGAAAGCGATAACAGTTATATAAACAAGGTGTGGCCAGTGAGCATTGGTTATTGACGAGTTAACGAGACTGATCGTACGTTCGGCAGCGTAAATAATAAACCAAATTGAACAAAAAAAACACACGAAAACATATATTGACACTTGGTTAGGACTGGCTGGCACTGAGCAGAGAACCACAGCCAGAAATATTTGGTATGTGAGAGTTTTTTTAATCCCTTCTTAAACTGAGTATCTGACTGTGTTGATCTGCATTCCATTTTGCTTATAGTATTTGAGCCACACACGCTGCCATAATCAAGGATAACTAATATTCGCTCTTATCGAGAGAGAGAGAGAGAGAGAGAGAGAGAGAGAGAGACTTAATAGCACCAGGAAGTCTTATAAACAGTGCATGATGCTTATCAAACCAACTTGTTGTTAAGTGTGCGGGAGACAAGGCCGAGCATGATTTTGGCAGACCACACACACTACTTTCTTGATTTTAAGGTTGAATTTTGAGAACGTTTTCCCTGTCTTCCTTCTTATACCGAGGGGCGCTGCCGTCTCATAGTCCCGCGGTTAACCTTCCTACTTGTTTCTATCTAAAATTCATGGCAGCGTCGAAAGCAGTAACGAGAATTATAATGCAATGGTGAGGATAGGGCGGGAGGTGAAGGGGTAGGGGTGGTGGTGATGATGGTAGTGGTTGGTGGTAGTGGTGGTGATGGTGGTAGTGGTGGTGATGGTAGTAGTGGTGGTGATGGTAGTAGTGGTGGTGATGGTAGTAGTGGTGGTGATGGTAGCAGTGGAGGTGATGGTGGTAGTGGAGGTGATGGTGGTAGGTGCTGGCAGATGTGGCACCGCCGTGACCCTGGCCACCTGCCACTCTTGCTACCCACCTTCCTCCTCCTGACTCACAATGCAGCTGAGCAACCTGGTAGATAAGATGACCCACTATGACCTGTACTGTACCTCACTCCTCCTAGGTGTGTGTGTACCATAATAACCAAGGCAACTCCAGTAATGATCACCTGTAAGGGCCAAGGTTCGTAAAGTCCTGGGAAGTGTTAGAGGTGCTACAGGTACCAGGCAGCGGCGCCACAGTGACCATTATTAGTGTGATGACGTGTGGCAGTGTCGGCGTGACCCGCGGGCCGGAACAAGTGCAGAGGGCGCGCGCCACAAATACCCTGGCAGGGGCGCGGCGCGGGCACGCTCAGCAGCCACCACCAGCAACAGAGGCGCCACCACCGTTACTATGCACCGGCCACCACCTCACCTTCCTCACACTCCCTCACAACAATGGTCTGTATCCCCTCACGTTGATACACACACCCCCCCTCCCAGAAAAAAAAACAACTGCCCACACCATACTATACCGCTGCGGTGGTGTGTGGTGGAGGGGCGTGAGTATGGTAGGCCAGGTATGGTGAGCCGGGGGTTGGCACTCACCCATGTGTTAAACCTCATGCCCCCTGTGCCCTTGACCTGCTCTTCCCTCAACAAATACATCAACAGTCTTACCTCACGTCTCTTCATAAATTCTCCCTGCATAAGACTCATCAATCGCACTCCATAAAAAAACTAAAACTAAAATCGAATCCCACTAAAGATTTAACATAACAGAAGACAAAGATATACCCCCCCCCCCGTACACGTCCGTTGGCAAAGTTTATCCCTTGTGTGGTTCTCCCAGCCGTCGACCACAGGCATAAACTCTCCCCCAACACATCTGCCACCGACCGTATCTCCTCCCAGTAGTGTTAAGCTCTCACCACCAGCCCGGGAAACAACTGAGGTTATCGCTTTACTGTGGCTGTCGCTCTTGGCTCGACTAAGAACAAAAAAGAGGAGGAAAGGATAAAGTTTACCCCATGGAAGGTATAGGAGAGAAAGACGAAGGATGGAGGCAAGACAAAAAAGAGGTACAAGAGAAAACTAAATTATGGGGAAAGTATTAGTGAGTGACTGACTGTATGAAGGCGAGGAGGTAGGTTAGGTAGATCACACAGGAATACAATCAATCACCCATACTGTGGATAAAAACAAAGGTAAAGAATGTATCTGTTACCACTACAAGGTTAACCCAAGAGATTTTTATACAAGAGGGTACGGTTTTAGAGGCTCGTGGTATATATAGCATTAGTCTCCCGGAGTCTCATTCCCAACTGATGGGTATAATAAGAAATAATTGACCAAGTTTTGAATATAGCAAAGCCTCTTGAGTCGTTCTTGATGATAATAAGACGCGTGTTCAGTTGTCATCCAGCATAAGGTACTCTATCAGTGCCCCGCCGCCCACCTCTTAATTAGCCCAGTTTGTCTCTGATTTAACCTGGTGTTGGGGGGGGGGGGTGAGACAGGTGCTTCTGACGCAATGACCAAGATGGCGGACCAAGTACACCATGACCTCCAGTGTTACCACCACCACCACCACCACACTATGACCTACACCAGCTGGGCAAAATGGTAGTAAACACTGTTGGTTGTATCAGGTGTAATATTGGCCTTTGATCCCATCCTGGTGCTGAAGAATGGTGGAGATGAGGGGGTGATGGAAGCCTTGGTCGCAGTGGTGGTGATGTGTGGAGGTAGTGGTGAGGAGGGGTGAGGAGAAACAGTGGCCACAGTGACTGGGGAGGAGGTGGCCACGCCTAACATTCTCCATCTGGTGCGTAGAGGCCACAGTTAACACCTCAGTTATGCAGACACCGCGGCCACGTCTCCAGGATTAGGACGAGGGAGACAGCGTGGGGGGAGGGGATGGAGGGTGGGGTGTGGGGAGGAGGGTGGGGTGGGGTCATGGAGAAGGTGCCACGTGGTGTGTCCTCCCCGGGTCAACCTATCAGACCTTAATACTGAAACTGGAACTATGATGGAGAGAGAGAGAGAGAGAGAGAGAGAGAGAGAGTTGAACTTGACCACTATCCTCTTCCATAATCCCCCACCACACCTCTCATCCCTCTCTCCTGTCAACTAATTACCACACACACACACACACACACACACACATCTTCGTTCAGGTGTAACTTAATTAGAGTATGGGTCACCTGTCAGTTACATTGTCTTCACCTTGTTTGTGTTGTGTTTACATGTTAATCAGTCACAGGTAAAAAAACACACACACACACACACACACACACACACACACACACACACACACACACACACACACACACACACACACACACACACACACAAAACAAAGATGATGTTAATGATGATGGTGATGATAATGATGGTGACGGTGACGATGGTGATGGTGACGATGGTGATGGTGACGATGTAGACGATGATGATGATGATGTAGACGATGATGATGATGATGTAGACGATGATGATGATGATGTTTTTGTTTAATTAACGTTGTTATTGTTGTTGTATCCCGGACAGAAGTGAGCTGCGGTGACCTCGCGGCAAGATGGCCTTCGGCGGGTTGAAGACAGCGGTGGTGACGGCTGTGCTACTCACCACCTCCTTACTCATCTTACACCCAGTGTGTGGTGAGTGTGACCCAGCCAGTGTGACCTCCCCTCTCTCCCCCTTCCCAACCAGTGTGACCTAGCTTGTGTGTCCCTCCCTCCTCTCCCCTCCCCTTCCCAGCCAGTGTGACCCAGCCAGTGTGACCTCCCCTCTCTCCCCCTTCCCAACCAGTGTGACCTAGCTTGTGTGTCCCTCCCTCCTCTCCCCTCCCCAGTGACCCAGCCAGTGTGACCTCCCCTCTCCCCTTCCCAACCAGTGTGACCTAGCTTGTGTGTCCCTCCCTCCTCTCCCCTCCGCTGCCAGTGTGACCCAGCCAGTGTGACCTCCCTCCCCCCTTCCCAACCAGTGTGTGTGACCCAGCCAGTGTGTCCCTCCTCCTCCCCTCCCCTTCCCAGCCAGTGTGACCCAGCCAGTGTGACCCAACCAGTGTGTCCCTCTCTCCCTCCCCTCCCTCACCACACTACTTGCATCATAATGTATAGCGTTTATCACCTTTAACTCTTATTTATTTATTACCAATTTTAATTATTTAACACGTAGGAAAATATAGGTACAGTGAAACCTCCCATTAACGGACTATATGGAGAGGAAAGTCCGTTATATCGAGGGTCCGTTAGATGTGAGACCTCCATTTAACGGACTATATAGAGATGGACCTAGCTAAACAAACCCCCAAAAAACAGAGTCCCCAGCAACACAGACCCCAGGAACAGACAGCTCCTAGCAACAGAAACCCTAGCAACAGACAGCCCCTAGCAAAACAGACCCCAGCATCAGACAGCCCCTAGCAAAACAGTCCTAGAAACAGACGGCTTCCACTGACAGACAATTCCAGTGAGAAAAACAAACACAAAAAACATACAGACTCCTTCATTTCCTCTGTCTTAAAACACATCCCTCGCTGACTCTTGTCCTCTATGGAAGTGACGCAACATAAACACTATTTGCTCTTCCACCATGTACTACACTATATTCTTCACTATGTCTTACACTAGTACACGCGAAGATAGACACACGTTAGGACAGTATACAGTAAATGGTACAGGATTATTGGAACCGTGTGAGATGTATTGAGAGCTATGGATAGTTCTTCGGAAAGGCACAAGTAGACTGAAAACCGGATTCCGGATTTGTAGAGCGTCTTCCGGATTTTGAATGTCTTATGTAAACACGTTCTCGTCATTCGCTGTTTCTTTTTTTCAATCCTCTATGTATCTCACACTTAGCCTCGTTAGTTGTTCATACTTTCTGCTTAATTTTCTGAGGTTATTTAACATTTCGTCTCTCACACAATGGTCCGGACACACACACACACGCGCGCTTGCTTCCTGTGCTCACCTCACAAGCTGGGCCACCGCCACCACTACAACCACCACTCTTAGAAATAATTACAGTACATTAAATTTTCTCTTAACTGGAGTAACTTGCTCGGTTAAATTTCGATACAGAGATGATTCTTACAATTAAAATCATTCACTATGTACTGAGTGACGTAACAACATTCTCTCATCACCAGACACGACGAGAAGTTTTGTCAAACGTCGATACCAAAATTAAGACCCAATATTCATCACTTGTTTGTTCACACGTTAACTGTCGTATCACCTGTCAATAACTAAGTGACAGTGTCCATCTTAACTACCTGAGCAATATCCTCCTCCCTCGACCACTTTCAATGGCTAGTCATCTATAAATAAAACCTAAGACTTATCAACAGGTGAGAACATAGATTGGCAGGTGGCCAGCCTCCACCTCTGTCGTCCAGATGGTTACATGATGGAACCAGGGACACAGGTAGTGGAAAGGGGGGTAGGGGGAGAGGAAGAGGGGTAGGGGGAGAGGAAGAGGGGTAGGGGGAGAGGAAGGGGGGTGGGGGGAGAGAGAGGGGGTGGGGGAGAGAGAGGGGGGTTAGGGGAGGAGTGGGGGCGGAGGAACTGAAGGTGACAGGTGTTGGTAATATGACCCAAGGACACAACACACTGCTGACCTCTTCTGTCACAACCTAACCAACATCATTCATCTGTCTTTCCCTCCCCCTATCACTCTCTCTCTCTCTCCCTTACCTCTCTCTCTCTCCCTTACCTCTGTCTCTCTCTCCTCTTCGTCTCTCTCACCTGTGCACAAGACAGGTGTGAGTGACCGGCAGGGGGACACAACACAAACATCACGTCTCTCAGTACAGGTTCACCTACAACACTCATCAGGTGTTTAGGTAACTCTTCTCTCCTCCACGAAAATACACCTAAAAAAAATCCAATCTTTCTCCGGTGTCAGAGTCATAAGTGTGTCAGCCAGGGGAGTGTGGAGGACGCGGCAGGTGGTGAGGTAGGTGGTGATGAAAGGTGCCACTCCCAAGGGACCCTCAGTCACCGCAGTTGAGGGAATACTGCCAGCCATCTGCCCCTTGTCCCTGGACCTGCCACACACACCGCTCTACAAAGTGCCCGGCCTAGGGAGTCGCTTCACTCTATGGAATAAGGCTGAGGCAGACTGTATACAACTATACAAGTGTTGCGGCGTGACAAAGGTGTAGAGGCGACACAAGACACCTCAGTGACGGGTGTTCAGCCGGTGGGGAGGGGGGGGGTAGGTGGGCAGGGGGGTAAAGCGGTAGGAGGGGTTGGCAGAGGGGGGTTGGGAGGAAGGGTTGGTAGGTAGGGGGGTCGGTGGGTTAGTGTTGTGATACAGCCACCTGTTGAGGCAATTATTAACACCACAGTAACACATTGTCATGACCAGGTGCCTTGTGGGGCGTGTTGGATTGTCTGTAGGTCCTGGCGACACAACACCCACCTACCCTACCTGGTGCCCGTGGGCGGCTCTCTGGCTGACGCAGGACTCAGGTGGTAGTTGGCCACCCGCCACCCACCAGCCGGCAGGAAGGGTGGCAGAGTGGGTGGGTGTCTTCGTATTCACACACACACACACACACACACACACAAGCAGCTGTGACAAACCAAGGCTAAGGAAGGTCTTAGCTACACCGTCTGGCCGGGTTGTGTAAGATGAAGAAAGAATGTAACGTCTCTCAGTTTCCTTATTCACAAGTTCAACTGAAGTTTTAAATAATAATAATAATAATAATAATAATAATAATATTAATAATAATAATAATACCCGTAAATATAATAATAATGTGAAAGCAATAATTGGACAGCATCTGATAATCGTCACGTCAAAGCCTTGGTCCTATGTTGAAGTCTATGAAGGGTTGTGTTGACGACATCTGTTCCGTGCATTAGCGATTTGTATGGCGGCCCTCAACCATTTTCCAGCTGTAAGAAGGACACACACTGCCCAGCTCTAGGCTCCCTGCCTATATAGCTGCTGTCAGCCTGAGTCATCCAGCCAAATTACAGCTGCTTCCAATACTTCCATCTCATTCTTATGATTAACGTGACACGAAATTATGATAACATTTAATCATATTAACGTGAGAACTGCAGTTGTTATTTTCGTTTAACAATCGTGTAAGAAAAACAATGATCAGATCTTGAAAAAAAAAGCGTGTTTTAAAATTAGCTCTCCCCGATGTTATCGCGAAGATTTATGCCACACTGAATGGCACTTTTAACCTCGAACAGATGACGGAATGAGTCTGACTGTACACTGCTAAAACCTCGACATACTGTAGAAGGCGTGGAAGTGCAGCTCTTCACCCACCCGCCAACACATTCCTCTACCTGATGGATGAATCAATTTATTATGATTTACAGTTTACACAATAAATATAATCTAGTGCTTAGTGGTCTTTTATTTTACTTGTAATTGTTGATATATAACTGTAGTTCAGGAGAGTTTTGGCAAGCAAGGGATGAACGGTATGGAGCTAACCGTCAGCTGTCAAGGCGGGTATTTTTGGGAGCGTCTCTGCCAACCTCACCTCCCACCCTCACTTGTTCCTCTTCCTCCTCTCCTGCAACACCATTCACTATCTTGGTTTATTTACTTATTTACCCAATTATTTTATACATTTATCCCACAAAGGAGTTTAATTACCAATGGTTTAATTAGACGGAGTTTACACATTCAGTTAACACATTCTCCTACACGTATATTATTTTTCATTTATATCAGGTCAGATCAGCTCAGGTTAGGTCAGGTTAGATTAAACATTAAGTGAAATAAACTATGGTGTTACAGATTCTTCAGGTTATCCATAACTGCTCTATTATATAAAAGTTCCAATATCACCTTAACACCAACTCTATCTCAGGTGAGTCGAGGTTAACTTGTCCTCATTAACAACAACAAGTTAACTCGACCTCACTCACCTTATCTCATATTGCAGGTAACATTGGTTCAACTTCCCCTGTAAATGATGTTAATGTTCGCCTTTACCGCCATGAAGTGATGTGATAATGGTAACGTGTGTGTGTGTGTGTGTGTGTGTGTGTGTGTGTGTGTGTGTGTGTGTGTGTGTGTGTGTGTGTGTGTGTGTGTCTGTGTGAGTGTCGTGTGTGTGTGTGTGTCTGTGTGTGTGTGTCTGTGTTTGTGTGTCTGTGTGTGTGATGTGTGTGTGTGTGTGTGTGTCTGTGTGTGTGTGTGTGTGTCTGTGTGTGTGTGTGCGTGTGTGTGTGTGTGTGTGTGTGTGTGTCTGTGTGAGTGTGTGATACAGTATAGATGAAAGAATTAACTAGACCTATCTCACTTCCCCTCTCCAAACACCCCCTCCCCCCACACACTCAAACCACCATCCTTAAAATTAAATTCCTCTCAGTATTGCCAATTCCCACACAGCCTCCAATACCAATAATGACTTACCCTTCAACGAGCGGTGTAGTGGTTTAGTAATTACTCAATATTGGCTATTGTCGTACACATCACATAGTTAATTGCCATTACTCCGTCGATCTAACTGCCAAGGAGAGTCGTTAAGTGGTTGGTACAGGAGTTAATGGGACAGGTAGGAGTCGTGATTTGTTTGGAAATACCTGTACCGTACCTGGATATAGTCGAGACCTTAATTAGTGGCTTATTTCACCCATACTTCACTCATAACTCATAATATACTCACACTTAAGATGGCATACTTACACCATACTATATTTGACATACATACATACATACACCATACTATATTTGACATACATACATACATTACACCATACTATATTTGACATACATACATACATACACCATACTATGCTACACTCACACTACACTTACACAATTGGTCGTGGTGTTATGGTGATATTGTGGAGGTGTTATAGTGGTAATGGTGGAGATGTCATGGTGGTGGGGATGTGATGATGGTGTTATGGTGGCGATAGTGGTGATGGTGGTAGAGACAGCTGGCACCCGGGTCCTCACGTGACGTCAGCGGACCACTCCTCTTTTTTTTTTTAACCCATCTTGTGCTGAGTCTTTATATTTGGCTTCTGGCACAGTGAGGGGTGGGCCATTATACCCCACCTTCCACCCACCTTCCAAAGCACCCTACCCACCTCCTGCCCCACTCTACTACCCACCTTTCAACCCACCTCTTGCCCTACCCTTACCCACCTCCTATCCTATATCTGCCAGTAACTTCTGTTTACCAAAAATAAAAGGATAGAGAGAGAGAGAGAGAGAGAGAGGGCATAATTAAGTATATAAGTAAAGAGAGAAGAGAGATAGTGAAACATTTAAGTAAGCTGGGCATAGGTAGTGACACACACACACTGAACCCTTCAAACTATACAAGCCCAGGACCTTGACAACGCTGCTTCCTCTACCCAACTGTGATAATAAAGAAGGTTAGGTTAGGTTAGGTTAGGTTAGGTCTACTGGAGGAGAGGGGGAAGAGATTGCATATTTAATGATATTTACCTATTACAACATCCAGGTACACACGGAGGCATGGATAAAGACCACCAGAGGCAGTGAACAATATACCTAAGAACCCCCTCCACCGATGCTCACGAGGATTCCCGTTTTCTATTCCCTTTTCTCCCCAACGCGAGTACGACAGTGACAGAGGGCGGGACATTTGGCAGTTTACTCTCTGACGTAAACACATGAAGTTATTGCTCGAGGATTCCCTGAGAGTGGAGAGGGAAGGGGGGGTTGGCGGGAGGGTCATGGGGTGGAGGAAGGGTGTGGGTTAGTAATGGGAAGGGAGGTGGTGGGGAGGGTAATGGGGCGGGAAGGTAGGGAGGGGAGTAAACTACCTCACCCCCCCATTACAAGGTTCTAGTCACTCTCCCCCTCAACAGTACAGCGGTAGAAACTCTATAGACTAAAACAACACGAATTAGTGGCGTGAATCTCAGGTGTGTTAATATACTGTACAGGTGATATTAATAAAGGTGTCACTGGTGTTGGTAGGTGGAGTGTGGGTCGCTGTGCCCGTGCCAAGCTCTCTCTCTCTCTTTTCTTCTGTCTGTCTATCTGTCTGTGTCTCCTCTCGCCTCGCCCGACAGTTCGTTGTGCTCTGGTAGAAAAGAAGTAGTCATATTTTGAGCGGGTATGAGGGAAGTGGAGGAAGGAGGTGAGGGAGGGAGGTAGGTGGGAGGTGCCAGGAGGCCATCACGACCTCCACACACCTCACCTGTGTTGGTCGGGTCACCTGTCTTACCTTCACTGTATCGCTACTGTAGTGAGGACGATGCAGCACTACAGAGATCACAAAGATGAAGAACGTCTGATGCCATATAGTTTTAGTCAATTATAAAACTCCACAACACAGGAACACTCGGGATGAGGAGGTGTGTTGCATCTACCATCACAACACCTCACCATCTCTCTCTCTCTCACGTCAACACACTTCATTTACCCTCAATTAACACTCATGGCCTTCCAGTCCCTGACATAAACGATTCAGGAGGTGACACTGACGGGATATAAACCTTGTTGACTGGCTGACACATACAGGGAAATTACGCTGAAGGATATCGTGGAGCGAGAAGGTCGAAATAGTTAAGCTAAGTATTGAATAAACACTCAAACGTACGTACACATTCTGTTTGATCCTTATGTCTTTATTAACGCGGAAGTGACGAAACTGTTTTACTCACCCAGCTGACCTCTTTATTCTGAGGTGTGGCCGACAGCACCTGAGGGGGTCGTACACCTGGTGAGGTTAGGTTAGGTGAGGTGAGGTTGTTATGGAGTAGTGAATGTGACGAAACAGTGTTCTTTGGTGAAGCAGGTCATGTGAGTGGTGAGTAGGATGAGGAGGGGGGGGGAGAAGAGGATGATGAAGAAGAGGTGGAAGAAGATAAGGAAGGGAGGAGGAGGTAGGAGGAGGAAGGAGGAGGAGGAGGGAGGAGGAGGAGGAGGAGGAGGAGGAGGAGGGCCATCGATCAGGGTAACGAGGCGAGGAGGGTGGGGGGGGTGGGCATAGACTAATGGCGTTATCGAGGACCAGATGGCAGCACTAAGGCGTGTTGACCCAAACATTACGACCATCGCTAGTGAAGGTTTTAGCCGATCACGACCAGGTAACTCCTTCTCCCGCACCTCCCTCCCTCCCTCCCTCACTGGCCCCCTCACACTCACGTCAACACGCCCAAAAAACAAAAATAAACAACTCGTGAACCTGAAGCAGTAGACTGATACAATATCTTATACATAAATTATTCGGGTTCACGAGTCTGAATCTCCGGGTTCATTGGTTAATAGACAGATGAACGAAACCATAACACAAGCTCCACGATAGTCAAATGTTTATGTATTTTCTAACCTAACCTAACCTAACCATCTATAAACAACAATAACTTTTCAATGAATCTATTAATAAACTGACAGGTAATTAGAGCAGCATTACGGAACCATTAAACAGAGTTGACGTCACACACACACACACACACACACACACAGATAAGGTCATCCCGCTGCCACACTGACCACTAATAACAGTGAATCGGTCGTTAGTGTCAGCTAGATAGATGCAGTGACGCTCGTACCCAAAGAACCTCTATTTAACGGACATCTACCAGGTATAGTCCGTTATATGGAGGTTTCACATTTAATGGATCTCGATATAACGGACAGTACCCTCTTACATAGTCCGTTATATGCAGTGAGTGTGTGTCCATGTGTGGGCGAGGGGGCGTGGCATCGGAATGGGGAGAGATGTCAGGGGGAGTGACGTCAGTATGAGGAATGACGTCAGTAGGGGCAGTGAGGTCAGGTTAGGCTAGGTTAGGTTTGGGATTTTGTGTCATATCCGTGTAGCTCAAAGAGAAGCCATGTGTCGCGTGGGAGGAGGGAGGGAGGGAAGGCGAGAGGAGGGAGAGAAGGAGAGAGGGGGGAGGGAAGAGTCAGGTCCAAATCCACAAGTGACGTCTTCATCTTATTGTCAGGTGTTAAGAGCGACAGGTGTTAGTGCCCACTGTTTACTGTCACGGTACACACACACACACACACACACACACACACACACACACACACACACAGGTGACAAAATTAATCTACCTGGCGTAATAGCTAATTAATCTGCCAGGTGTAATTACGTATGAAAAAAAGAAAATAAGAAATATGTTTATATTATAACCTGAGAAATAGATTAGCATAATTTATGGAATAAGAGGAAAAGGTGGTGGTAATTTAGTCTTGAGTGGTGTGGTGGTGGTGGTGGTGGTAGTGGTGGTGGTGGTGGTGGTGGTGGTGGTAGTGGTAGTGGTGGTGTGGTGGTGGTGGTGGTGGTGGTGGTGGTGGTGGTGGTAGTAAGTGTGGTGGTGTGGTGGTGGTGGTGGTGGTGGTTGGTAGTGGTTGTGGTGATGGTGATGGTGACGATGGTGATAGTGATGCAGAATTCTAAGTACTTCATTATCTACACAAATTATATAATTATGGGGAAATGACACACACACACACACACACACACACACACACACACACACACAGACATAATAGCTTTGAAACTTAAAACAAAACTATAAATATCAATATGAAATTCGACTAACCTAACCTAACCTAACCTCACCACTAGCATTTAACTAGATATGGTAATAATTAAGTTACCTGTGAAAAACTATATTCTAATTACCCTTTTTTCCGTCATTTCTATATTTCTATATATATATATATATTTCAAGCTTATGAAATATAGCATAAGTTAAGCTTTTTTCACTGTTTTGTCAGCTTTGTTTCTGTGTTGTGTTTATTGTTTGTTTGTTTATCTCTCTTGTTTATTTGCCTTTATGTTGTGTTGTCAAAGTTTTAAAATGTTCGTATCTTTATTATGAAATGTTGGCACCCCTATTATGAAGTGTTGGCACCCCTATTATGAAATGTTGGCACCCCTATTATGAAGTGTTGGCACCCCTATTATGAAATGTTGGCATCCCTATTATGAAGTGTTGGCACCTATTAAAATGTTGGTGAAGTGTTGTTCATGTTGGCCTATTATGAAATGTTGCACCCCTATTATGAAGTGTTGTGCACCCCGTTACAGCCCCTATTATGAAATGTTGGCACCCCTATTATGAAATGTTGGCACCTCTATTATGAAGTGTTGGCACCCCTATTATGAAGTGTTGGCACCCCTATTATGAATTGTTGACACCCCTATTTTATCATGTACAGCTTAAGCTTTTCCCCACTCCATTCTGGCAGACATCTACCCCCCACATGAAGTTCAGCTTATCCCCCCACCCTCTGACAGGCATCATGATCTACCCCCCAATATGAGGTTCAGCTTACTCCTCCCCCCTCTGACAGGCATCTACCCCCCCACATGAGGTTCAGCTTACCCCATCCCCCTCTTGACAGGTATCTATCCCCCCCACATGAGGTTCAGTTCCTCCCCCCACCCCAGCAGGAATGGTCTCACCTGTGTGTGTTCTTCCCGTACAGGTGATAATCCATCCTACACAGAGTGTCGTCCTCACATAGATGCCACCATCCGCGACCTGGCAGCCAAGGCCATCTTCGCCGGGGAAGTGCCCTCAGACGACCTTGGCTCCCAGGAATACGGTACGACGGCAACGACTCCTTCACGGTCATATATGAGAGAGAGAGAGAGAGAGAGAGAGAGAGAGAGAGAGAGAGAGAGAGAGAGAGAGAGAGAGAGAGAGAGCCATGAGGAGGCATTAGCAAATTAATCATAGCTCATCTCTCGCCTCGCTCTACTAACCCGTTACACTTATAGAACCTCAGATGATTAATAAAACAAGACTTTACCACTGTAGTAACTAAAACACTGTAACACTTAATAAATTAGTTAATCATCTTGTAAGTTTGTATAAGTGTGTTGTCTTCACTTACACCATCACTAGATAACACTTAGATACGTTTGTTTTGTTTAAGTAGATTTTGTTTTTGTTTTCTCATTTCGGGTTTTCAGTATTTCGGTGAACGGAAGAACTTACGTCCATCCATAAGTTGTCCTGGAAGGTATAGCTTGATGGATAGTCTTAAGATTCAGTACTATAACACTCGACACGTTTGAGAACGATGACAACCTGAAGACGATAGATTAATCCTCATAAAGACAATAATTTGACCCAACAAGAGCGATGTTTTATCCCACTCGTCCCCAAAGAGTTAATTAAATTACTTGAAGGTTCTGAGTTTCCTTGTGAACGAGAAACCCATTACTCTTGAGGTACAGTCGCCTGCACTTTCACCTGGTACGGTGCCTGGTGCGTTTTGAGAGATGTGGCAGTTCTGTATTTGTTTACATCGTATTAAAACTCCCAGAATGATACTATGGAGCCTCGCAATAGCAGCCAGACTAAGGATACTAGATAAACATTCCACAGTGTTGCCACATCTCACAAAATACGCCAGCCACTGTACCATGTTTAAGTGCAGGCTATGGTACTTGCTTCTCAGTGTATATATATACCAAGCGTGTCGTCACCATCCCCTTCAGAGCTCACTTCTACCCACTACGATAAAAAGCGTCTATAGGATAATCTCGTTATCTCAGGAGGTAGTGTGGGCCGACCAGCTCTCCATCTTATATACAATTGGAGGCGCAGAGAATTCCTTGTGCTTCAGGAGTTGTTGTGGGTAATGATGAAGCTCCTTTTTCCAGCTTCAATTTATTTATATCCGCTTCCCCCTTGGCTTATTTCTCCATCATTCGCTTCTCGCTTTTGCCTGTATTACCGCTAGGTTTTGTGTGAAGCTTACTTGGTGCTTTCCATAAGAATCCCAGAAAAGATTTATTGTCTCTCTTCATAACAAAACACTATGGATGTTTCTAATATGCACAGCCACGGTCAAAAGTCCTGTCGCCTCTTCTACTGCTTCACGAACCTTGAGATTCAGACTCAAGAATCCGAAGCATCCGTGGACAGAATAATGTATCAATGTCTACTGCTTAGGGTTCACGAGTCTGAATCTCGAGGTTCGTGAAGCAGCAGAAGAGGCGACAGGATTTTTCACCATGACTGTACCCTCTTTGACACATAACAGTGAATTCCATTGCATACTGAATTTACTTGCATCATTTACTTGAAAAAATAAACTATCTCTTAGTTTCAATAAGGCTAAATGATTTACAGTTTATGCTATGATATGTGGGTTAAACTCCTTCCCCTTCCTGGCAGCCTTAACCACATGTTATCTATATTAATCTGGTTATATCTCACCGACCACAGACGATGCCGTGACTGAAGCTGCACATGTTGAAGAGTCATTACCAGTCGAACCCACCAAACCATCTCTAGAACCAGAGCCTGAAGCACCGTCAGAATCGGAAGAACCTCTGGCGCCTGAAGAACCTCCGCCGCCTGAAGAACCCAAACCTGAAGAGGTTGTTGAACCAGCAGCACCTGCTGAGCCAGAAGCACCTGTTGAGCCAGAAGCACCAGTTGAGCCAGCAGCACCTGCTGAGCCCGTGGCACCCGCCGAACCTGAAGTTGTAGTTCTTGAAGAGCCAGCAGCAGCTGAGGTGAAGCCTGGGCCCATTGTTGAGGCTGCTGCTGCCCCAGTGGTGGAGGAGGCGCCGGCAACAGTGGAGAACGTGAAAGGTAGGATGAGAGCGGCCAGAGCTGACACACACACAGGCGCTTATAATTAGTGGTGTCAAGAGCATTTTATATCTGTATAGAACAACTCACTGTTTACTAGCTAAGGTGTACGTATACTCTAACGTGTGTGGCTGCTGTGTTAGTTTATTCCAAAGCTGCATCTTCAAATTCAGCGTCAGCAAGGAATATGTTAGAATAGAGTGAAGAGTTGTCTACCAACACTCATATGACTTACGAAACTTTGTACCTATGAACCTTCAGATCTATTAACCTTTAAACCTATGAACCTTCGAACCTTTGTACAGCCAATCCAAAAAGTATCGAAACCCCAGGCGTCCAAATGAATATGAAACATTGGGTATAAACCAACCCAACTCATCGAATACATGAATGCTTCTGAGGTTATCGCTCATTTTCTATGCCACAGAAACTTGGGGTCCCGATACTTTTTTTGGAATAACTGTATCTACAAATATTCGAACCTATGAACCTTTGTATCTCTATGAACCTTCAGATCTATAAACAAACCTCCAGACCACGAACCTTTGAATCTCTATGAACCTTCGAACCTAAACGAATCACACGAACATAAGATTCTTCACCCAAAATCCACCTTTTTACACAATTATCAGATCTCACTCAGACTCTAAAATAATTCAGCATCCCATATGAGTGTTCTAGGTGACAAAAGTCTTCAACAACATCACCAGTATGGCCAATGTTAGATTAATTTTAGTATTGTGATAAAATAACACCCATAGATTTTTTGTTAAACAACTTGCATGATTGATATTTGTTGCTTCGTCAGCTTTCATGATTTATTTGCTCATGGTGGAAAATTGTCTTTTAGTTAATGTTAAAAGTCAAAGCTTATATTAATAACTACAATACAGGGTTATTAAAAAAAGATACAAAAATAAGCCAAAATTTAAGAGAGTTATACAGGGTAGCACAAAAGTTTAAAAATACATTGTGATTTTTTCCTTGCATAAATTAAAATCCTTATTGGGTGAGATTTTTTCTTGGCTTACTCTGTATATAAAAAATTAAGGGTATTTTTTGATGACCCTGTAGAAATAACTCAAACATGTTTTTATGTTGCTGTAGTTATATGTATCAAAGGGCCAATATTTGTTTTGGTGTTTGTGCAGACTGACCTCATTATTTCTGTCTTATTACCAGCCGAAGATGATGAGGTAACGCCCGTAAAAGAGGCAAAGAAGAACAACAATAAACAAGGCAAAAAGAAAAAACAGAGAAAGGTAAGGAAAACGGTAACTGATAAGACACCTGATGATGAGGAAGAACAGATGGAGAAAGTTACGGATGAGGAATTAGAAAAGGAAGAAGGGAAACAAGAGACAATGGACGAACAAGAATTAGGAAGTAATGTTCAGGAAGAACTTCAAAAAGATGAAGAGATAATTAGTGAAAGTAAAGAAGCTGAAAATCAGGAGGAGGTTGTCGAGGATGAGGTAAAGGAGGAAGCTCTCGAGGCTGAGGTCCAGGAAGATGTCGAGGATGAAGTAAAGGAGGAAGCTCTCGAGGGTGAGGTCCAGGAAGATGTCGAGGATGAGGTAAAGGAGGAAGCTCTCGAGGATGAGGTCCAGGAAGATGTCGAGGATGAAGTAAAGGAGGAAGCTCTCGAGGGTGAGGTCCAGGAAGATGTCGAGGATGAGGTAAAGGAGGAAGCTCTCGAGGATGAGGTCCTCGAGGAAGGTCAGCTCGAGGACGAGGTGAAGAAGAAGCTCTCGAGGATGAGGTCCAGGAAGATGTCGAGGATGAGGGAAAGGATGAAGCTCTGAGGATGAGGTCCAGGAAGATGTCGAGGATGAGGTGAAGAAGGAAGCCTCGAGGATGAGGTCCAGGAAGATGTCGAGGATGAGGTGAAGGAGGAAGCTCTCGAGGATGAGGTCCAGGAAGATGTCGAGGATGAGGTGAAGGAGGAAGCTCTCGAGGATGAGGTCCAGGAAGATGTCGAGGATGAGGTGAAGGAGGAAGCTCTCGAGGATGAGGTCCAGGAAGATGTCGAGGATGAGGTGAAGGAGGAAGCTCTCGAGGATGAGGTCCAGGAAGATGTCGAGGATGAGGTGAAGGAGGAAGCTCTCGAGGATGAGGTCCAGGAAGATGTCGAGGATGAGGTGAAGGAGGAAGCTCTCGAGGATGAGGTCCAGGAAGATGTCGAGGATGAGGTGAAGGAGGAAGCTCTCAAGGATGAGGTCCAGGAAGATGTCGAGGATGAGGTGAAGGAGGAAGCTCTCGAGGATGAGGTCCAGGAAGATGTCGAGGATGAGGTCGAGGATGAAGCTCTCGAGGATGAGGTCCAGGAAGCTCTCGAGGATGAGGTTAAAAAAGTCGAGGATGAGGTCGAGGAGGAAGCGCTCGAGGATGAGGAATTAAAGGAAAATATTAAGGATGAGGTCCAGGAAGATGTCGAGGATGAGGTCCAGGAGGATGTCGAGGATGAGGTCCTGGAAGATGTCGAGGATGAGGTCCAGGAAGATGTCGAGGATGAGGTTAAAGAAATTGACGAGGACGAAGACCAAAGTGAAACTGAAGAAGCTGTAGATGAGGTAGAGGAAGAAGAAGAAACTGAGGCAGATAAGGAGAATGAAACAGAAGAAGATAATAATGAAGATGATATTGATGATGATGTTATTGAGCATATGGAAACAGCAGAAGACTTGAAGACAACAGAAGAAGAGAAACACAGTAAGAAGCCTTAGCGTAACCCTCCCCCAACCACCCCTCCCGCCCTTCACCTACCCACATCTGTGAAATACCTGCAGCTTGGGTCCTTGTCTCTACCTTGTTCTATTTACCTGGCTCTTTGATCGATGTAACACCGTCATAATGTCTTTGGTGTAACAGATTTTGGAATTCTTTTTTTTTTTCAAGTGTTATTTAATATTTGTGGTTCTGGTGATGTATAACCTACTGTTAATACTTTTTTATGCTTTATAATTTTTTATGTAATTACTTAAACATACATTTCTGGAAAGTCACATTTGATATATCCAAAATCTTTTCTCAATCATCTTTTCTTTCATGGTAATAATCATAAATTTATCTTGCCTATAGGAAATGGTTCATAATAATATTTACCAACTCACAGCTGACACAATTCTACTATTCCCCAGCTGCTCCAGTTGAGGAAAAGCCGATTGTACAAGTTCCTAAACCAAAGAAAGAAGAAAAAGTTCTAGGTGTAATTGACAAGATCGTCGTCGCCATCTTCGGTGTATCGATATTAGAGGAACGAGATCCAAAGTGGACAGAACCCTGGCAGACACACGAGGAGTTCAAGAAGAAGAAGGAGGTCGTCGAGGAACCTAAAGTAACCAAAATCGACAGGTCAAAAGGTGGAATTATTCATAAGTTCATTACTATCTTCTTTGGGGAACCAACAAAAGAACGTGATGCCAAGTGGACAGAACCTTGGCAAACACACAAGGAACACATCAAGAAGCCTAAACCAGCTGAAGAACTCAAAGAGAAGAAAGTTGTTGTTACAACTGGAGGACTCATTGATTCTTTCGTCAAACTTTTCTTCGCTGCCCCACCAGAAACTGCCAAGCGTGATCCTAAATGGGCTGAACCTTGGCAAACACACAAGGAACACATCAAGAAGCCAAAGCCAGTTGAAGAAATCAAAGAGAAGAAAGTTGTTGTTACAACTGGAGGACTCATTGATTCTTTCGTCAAACTTTTCTTCGCTGCCCCACCAGAAACTGCCAAGCGTGATCCTAAATGGGCCGAACCTTGGCAAACACACAAGGAACACATCAAGAAGCCTAAGCCAGTTGAAGAAATCAAAGAGAAGAAAGTTGTTGTTACAACTGGAGGAATCATAGATTCTTTCGTCAAACTTTTCTTCGCTGCCCCACCTGAAGCTGCCAAGCGTGATCCCAAGTGGGCCGAACCTTGGCAAACACACAAGGAACACATCAAGAAGCCTAAGCCAGTTGAAGAAATCAAAGAGAAGAAAGTTGTTGTTACAACTGGAGGACTCATTGATTCTTTCGTCAAACTTTTCTTCGCTGCCCCACCAGAAACTGCCAAGCGTGATCCTAAATGGGCCGAACCTTGGCAAACACACAAGGAACACATCAAGAAGCCTAAGCCAGTTGAAGAAATCAAAGAGAAGAAAGTTGTTGTTACAACTGGAGGACTCATTGATTCTTTCGTCAAACTTTTCTTCGCTGCCCCACCAGAAACTGCCAAGCGTGATCCTAAATGGGCCGAACCTTGGCAGACACATAAGGAACACATCAAGGGCAAAGGTGTTTCGGCTAAGCTAGTACCAGCAGCAGCTCCTGCCCCTAAGCCTGAACCAGCCCCAGTTCCAAAAGCAGAGCCTGCTCCTGTACCAAAAGCAGAACCTGCTCCTGCGCCAAAAGCAGAACCTGCTCCTGCACCAAAAGCAGAACCTGCTCCAGTTCCAGTAGCAGAGCCAGAACCTGTCGTCAAGGAACCTCCTGTGGCAGAGGCAACGTTTCCTGCTGAGGAAGTGGCAGGTAGGTATTATGGTTGAAGTTGCAGTCCCTAAAGGCGAGAGCCTGTATGGCTTGTCATCACGTCAACTAAAAACATAATCCCTTGGTGTTATATTAGTGAAAAACCGTTTTGGCTTTGGGTTCCAAGGTCTCTCTGTTTATAATACTTGTCTATCAGATACACCCAGCAGCATCGTCTGAGCATACTCTACCATGTGAGTGTATTTCAACATATTTGCTTAAATATAAACTCATGTACAATATCATATATAACAGCATTAATTTTAAGCATATTTTAAATAAAGACTATTATCTACTCAGACATGGGGCGATTACATCGGTAATGTAATCAATTACGATTACAATTACATGGTAATTTTATGATTACAATTACAGTAAAAATGGATGTAATCGATTACGATTACATGATGCGTAATCATGATTACTTCAAAAGGATGGTGCTTAAATAAATGAACGTACTGCAAAAACTCAATTTACTGTACTGTTTGTTAACCTGGTACACAATGAAAGTAAAATATCGTTTAATAATATTAGATAATGCTAAGTCAAAGGAAATAAAGGTTACTGTACATGTACTTGTACCAAGTGAGTCAGAAGATTGCACTCTGCATTATATATTCCACCTGTGGAGGAAGACCTTTCAAAATGTTCAAGTACTGCCGGTTTAGATGTAGCCATGATTAGCAACAGTCCCTTGAAACATGACGCCGGACGACTGGTACCCAGCTGCCCGCCGACGCCACACGCTGCCACTGACTCGTCGTTTATTTATATTTGCTAACGATGGTAACTGTACGCTTACTGTAGCCTGTATTAATATCGTCTCTACATTATAGTTAAAAATTATAATTCTTATGTGTTACGAATTGAGTTTACAAAACAATAACACAAATAAAATCATAATGATGGTGTACAGCAACATCGTTTGGGTGGATCACCGTGAGACGGTTGACACGCCCAGTTCGTGTGTATTTTAAATTTACACAGTCTGGTTTAATCTTACAAGAATAAACAAATTCACACTGTAACGTTGCTGAAGCTTCACTTAATTGTAAAATGATTAGCCTAAGTCTGTGTGCTAACACGTTCTGTGTTTGCTTAGACGTAAATCAGTGGTTAAAAGCACGAATGTTTAAATCTTACTGACTCGATATTTTGTTTCTAACAGCTAAAGTATTCCAGACATAATATGGATGGTGAATGTTTGCCAAGTCATATAGAGGACGAATGTAGATGACTGTATGGAAAATCATGAGCTCGGTATTGCAGGAAAAGGAAACGAAGTACCGGTAATCGTGGAAGTAAACGTGATTACGATTATATTTTGAATGTAATCGATTACAATTACGATTAATTTACCCAAAATATGAATGTATTCGATTACGATTATTTCAAAAACTATAATCGATTACCCCATGTCTGCATCTACTTGAAACATCTGTGCTGAACAATTCCAATCATGGAGGCAGCACGTAGTCGCAGCTGCTTATGTCAAATGATTTGATAAAAAAAAAATATATATTAAAAATACATCAACCAAAATTTTTTTAAATAAAATTAATGACAGGAACAAGGGAATCTAAACCCACACACTGCTGTGTCAAACGGTAATAACATAGACCTGCTTCTGTAACACTTGCTCTACACGTGTAGCTTGAACCTCTTTATATGCTTGCAATATACATATGTTAATATATTGCATCATATATAACTTACACAATAATGAAATATTTACTTTTTTATAGCTGCTTATAGTTTTAAACTTAGAATAAACTTCCAAACTACTAGCTTACAGCGTCCTTGGGAAAGTAGATTAAAGTATAAAATTATAATAAATGAAAAGTCAATTGTTTTTGGGTAATATAAAAGATCTATTGATACCTGTCTACTCAAACTTTGCTCCTTAGTTGGAAAATTGGAGTGGACAGGACAGACTATAACGGTGATCCTGAGGGCGCTGAGTTATACCTTAAGGTGGGTTGAATCTCCTGAAGAAGTACAGGTCCTCCTTCAGTTATAATTTTCTAACCCTTCTTGGTAACTCAAAGGTAAACACGAAGAGGTCGACGACGAAGAAGATGAGGAAGAAGAAGAGGAAATTGACACAGATGAAGACGTAGAAGAAGTTGACGAAGATGAAGAAGAGGAAGAACTTATTGATGATGATATTGATGAAGTCGAGGAGGAGGATACCCAAGACATTGATGATGGAGTTGAAGATCCCATTGAGGACACCGTCGATAGTGATGAAGCTACTGACGATGAAGATGACGAAGAGTTAGAGACAGATGATGATGTAGAGACTGATGAAGAGGAGGAACTCGCCCATGACGAAATTGACGAAGCCTCAGCGGAAGATACTGGTGATGAGGCTGAAGAAGTTGAGGAAGAAACTGAGGAAGCTGAAGAAGATGAGGAAGATGAGGAAGATGAGGAAGATGAAGAAGTTGAAGCTGAAGAAGTTGAAGCTGAAGAAGCTGAGGAAGTTGTGGAAGATGAAGCTGAGGAAGTTGAAGCTGAGGAAGATGAAGCTGAGGAAGCTGAGGAAGAAGCTGAAGAAGCTGAGGAAGAAGCTGAAGAAGATGAAACTGAGGAAGATGAAGAAGCTGAGGAAGTTGAGGAAGATAAAGCTAAGGAAGTTGAAGATGAAGAAGCTGAGGAAGTTGAGGAAACTGAAGACACAGAGGAAGCTGAGGAACTCGAGCCAGAGGAGGAGGAGGAACTCGAAGTAGAGGAAGACGAGACAATGACAGATGAGGAACTTGAATCTGATGACGATGAAGGTCTTGAGTCAGATGATGAAGGTTTTACCACAGACGAAGACGAAGACGAAGACGATGACGATGACGAACTCGAGGTTGAGGCAGACAAGGGAGAGGTTGACGAGGGAATTGATGTTGATAGTTCTGACGGCGAAGGTGGCGATATTCGGAGAGATTTTGAGACTGGTAGTGATGATGAGGGTGAAGGAGTTGACGAGGAAGAGATCACAGAGAGAGACGAAGACACAAGAGACGATGAATCAGATGACGATGAAGCGGCAGCAGACGAAGACGAGGATGATAAAGCAAGACTCAGCCCAGACGACGAAGGTGTGATGAAGACACAAATAACCATACTGGTCATGGCCACTGCTTGCTGCACCTATGCCTTGGATGTTGTGTCCCTCTGTTTCTATTACCTGTTTGACTATGCTTGAGTGTTTTGCAATAAGAGCTAATTAATCCTACTCTCAGGTGACCTAAACTGAAGTCCGTGAAAAAAAAAAACTTTAATTCTAGTTTTTAATGCAAAGCTCAACAGGCTAAATCAAAATCGACTTTTTCTCGCGTGTATTCACTGCTGTTTAATATTTCCACGAAACAGTTTTTGTGTAATAATATAAGGATGTTTGTTCCTCGGCGTCTGTTAGTCTCTCGTTTTCTGATGTTCTTCGACAATCTCTGCTAAGTCTTCTTCTTCCTACAGCTCTAATAATTTTCTCTTAACAGCACACAGAGAATCTCAAGAGCTGCACTTAACTATTGGGAGCAGTAGAATAGTCCCACAGTCGTGCTTTGAGGGATACGTTTAATCTATAGTCATATACTGAAGCACTCTGAGGTCGTCCAGGTGTTGGTCTTCTTGTTTATACTCTCAAGTAGTTGTCAATTCAGGTGTTTAAGCGAAGGAGTTCAAGGCTGGACGTTCAGGTGGAGTGTTCAGTGATCTTAAAATAGTGAGTTGATATTACCACCACAAGTCAATGATCCTCAACACACGACTGAGCTAACGCAACCTCGGCCACCAGAGATTTGCATTCAGGAGTCTTTTGCCATCAAGATTATTATTCATCTCGATCATAAACTATTTTTTTTTACCTTTTTTTTCCCGCATTGTTGTTTTATGAGACAAGATGCCAAGTGCAACTCTCTCTATGTAGTATATTGGCAAGCAGGCGACAGCATCTCTGGCTCAAACATTCGTAATAACAAAAAATGGTTCATCTAATATTCAACAAACATCTTTTAGCTCCTTGTGTTTCTAATAACGAACAGATTTTTAAGAAGTTTTCCCGCCTCCTCCCAGCCCTGATACTTACGGATCGAGGAGGAAACATTCACCAGCCAACCCACGCTACCCCAACACCTCCCATCTTGGTATATTAAATGAACCATCAGAGTCGCCTTATGGATGGATGTACTGTATCACTGTTAGAGTAGCACGAGTGAGTAACCAACCAGACAGCAGTGAACTGAAGACGCTTTTGACCAGCAGCATGTGATACCCCCCTCTCTCCCTCCCTCCCTTCACAGTCACCACTCCGTCCCTCCCTTCAGCCACTACCCCCCTCACCCCCTCCCTCCCTCCCTTCAGCCACTACCCCCCTCACCCCCTCCCTCCCCTCACCCCTTCCCTCCCCTCACCCCCTCTCTCCCCTCACCCCAAACAAGGTCTTCATGCCCACCTACTTCACGACCCTCTACAACTCTACCGTCATATCTACTTCTGTTCCGGATGAAGTTCACTAATTCACAAGTTATCTAAAATCATTAACAAGAAAAGCAAAGATTTGAATCATCAATTACATAGCATTTATTACTGTATTAAGAAGATAAATAAACAACACCTCGAATTAAATAATCAGACAGGTAGACATTGTTAATTAAATACCTCCTCGCCGGGTTTAGCTTATCATTCCTCCATTATACCATAGTTATACCCTATTACCTTTACAGCTCAACACCTTAATGACCCTCGTAACTCAGGTGACTAATTAAGACGTGGTGCCTCCCCTTCAGGTACAGGTGAAGCTCTTAAGGCAGCCTCCGTTGATGCCAAACCAGTGGCTGACGCCCCCAAAGCCCCCGAGCAGCAGGTACTGGTGGAAGAAGCACAGACACAACAAGTTCCTCCGCCAGCTCTACCGAAGGAGGAGGAGGAGGAGGAGGAGGAGGAAGAACAGGTAAGATTGAATTAATGAAACGTAAGAGGTAAGAGGAGAAGGGAGAGGATGAGGAAAAGGAGAAAGGTAAGCACAGGAAGGCAGAGGAGAATAACACACAAATGGATCCTCGGAGGTTAGGTTAGGTTAGGTTAGGTTAGGTTAGGTTAGGTTAGGTTAGGTTCAGTTAAGTTAGGCAGCTTTAGTTATTTAGATTCTTCGAGTCTAAATATTAAACCATCTTGTTCCAGGTTAGGTTAAGTTAGGTTAGGTTAAGTAAAGCAAGGTTAGGTAAGGTAAAGCAAGGTTAGGTTAGGAAGGGTACTGTTCCGTGTGAAGGTTTACTGTGACTGTATTTACAGATAGTGGTTGTACCTTCCTCCTTCCGCTCCCGAGACCGTCTGGAAGCCATCTTGGGCCTAGACGAGTCCTCACGAGACACAGCCGCCCGTACAGACCCCATCGCTGACGCCACCCTGAAGGAGCTTAAGAACATCTACGAAACCACCATCAGGCCCCTGGAGATGCTCTACAAGTACCAGGACATCTCCAATCGTCATGTGTCCGACGCTGAGCTCTTCGGCACCCCGCTCATCCTGCTGGTGGGTCCTTACTCTACAGGCAAGTCCTCCTTCATCAACTACCTCTTGGGCGTCGAGTACACTAAGCGAGCCCTCAAGACAGGTAAGTGGCAACACACCTGCAGCAGCACCTGTATACGATCATTATTTAACGAGACCAAATTAAACCCCTTCTTTCTTTGTTTATATAAAAGACACATTCATTGCTCCTAAATGGGGTCGTTACATCATCCAAGTCATTATACTTATACTGTCTGATTTTACAATGATCACAGGATTAAGAAAATTTCCCTCATTATACTTGTAATAGTCACCTGAGCCCTACCTCGATATAATGAAGTCTCTTGTTTGTGTGTTAATGGTGGAGGTTGTTCGTTAATGGTGGAGGTTGTTCGTTAATGGTGGAGGTTGTTCGTTAATGGTGGAGGTTGTTCGTTAATGGTGGAGGTTGTTCGTTAATGGTGGAGGTTGTTCGTTAATGGTGGAGGTTGTTCGTTAATGGTGGAGGTTGTGTTAATGGTGGAGGTTGTGTTAATAGTGGAGGTTGTGTTAATGGTGGAGGTTGTGTTAATGGTGGAGGTTGTGTTAATGGTGGAGGTTGTGTTAATGGTGGAGGTTGTGTTAATGGTGGAGGTTGTGTTAATGGTGGAGGTTGTGCTGCTAGTGGAGGTAGTGTGTTGACAAGCCAGTGATGAAATGAGAATATCTAAGTGAAGGCAGCCAAGGAGAGTGTGTTGGTAGGGCCTGAGGGGGGGAGGGTTAAGCTGTTCTCTACTGACGGAGGAACACCCAGCACCCCTTTAAAGTGAGCCGGGTTGGGGTGAACTTCGTCAGGTAGTGTGTGAGATTAACTCCCTGAGGCCATGAAAGGAAAGGGGTGCGGTAGTCGTTGGTGTGTGTGTGTGTGTGTATAGTGTGGGTGGAAGAGATGGTGGAGGCAGACAGTAGTGTGGGTGGAGGCGAGACTGGAGGCAGACGGTGGTGTAGGTGGAGGAGACGGTGGAGACAGGCGGTGGTGTGGGTGGAGACAGACAGTGGAGACGGGTGGTGTGTAGACAGTAGTGGGTGGAGGTAGACAGTAGTGTGGGTGGAGGTGAGGGTGGAGGCAGACGGTGGTGTAGGTGGAGGAGACGGTGGAGACAGGCGGTGGTGTGGGTGGAGACAGACAGTGGTACATGTTCCAGGGACGCCACCAAGTCACGGGGCGTTCCGGGTGGTGCAGTATGGAGAGAAGGACAGCGAACTGGACGGCACCGACCTCAGCGCCCACTGGTCCTTCACCTCCCTTCAGAAGTTCGGACAAAACTTCATTGATCAGTTTACCGGCAAGGCCCTCAACGTCCCTCTACTGAAGAAGGTGAGACACTTCCCCCTTCCCTCCTAAGTCCATCATAAAGGTTAATCTCTTTTAATACAACGTTAAATATTTCTTTACTTTTCATATTTTATAATGAATAATATTGTGAATTTATTGAATATTATAAATAAGAAAAAAAAGGTAATGTATGTTATTCTTACGAGTGTGATACGTGTATGCTGTTGGATTAAGTGGTAAGTCATCATTTAATTCATAAGTCGTAGCTGTGATAGTTATAAGAGACGGCACTCACTAGTGTACCCTCAGTGTGTTCAAAACGTAGGACTTGAGAGCATGTTCGCTTGATTGTCACTCCTACACGTGATGACGGAGGCTGGTGTGTGTGTGTGTGTGTGTGTGTGTGTGTGTGTGTGTGTGTGGTCCTGAGATATACATCACCATACATCAGGACACATAACCATACATCACCACACACAAAGGCACATCACAAATTATCACCACGCACCATCATACATCACCACAGACCACCCACACATCACCACACACCAAGACACATCACCATATACCACCACACACCATCACACTACAACACATCACCACACTACAACACATCACCACACATCACCACACACACACACACCCCTGACCATCAGCCCTCCTCTTGGACATAATCCTCAAACAAGTCACGTACACGCCTCCAGAGTTTAGACCTGATGTTGTCTTGATAAAGTTAAGTGAGCCGTCATACTTGTCTCCTGGGGAAGGTGTGGGCCCTCAGTACCTCCGTCAGAGTAGGTCATGACGGCCCTTACTCTGACGGAGGCTGACGGAGACGCGACAGGCGGTGACCAAACATGCGTAGCGTCGGAGTCTCTGACATGGTTTAGGTCCGGGTTGTGTGTATCTAGTGTGTGTGTGTGTGTGTGTGTGTGTGTGTGTGTGTGTGTGTGTGTGTGTGACCTCTTTTGACTCTGTCCTTTAACGACACTTGACAATTGCATGTAATAATTAGTAATATTCTTCTACGTCAACCATACAAGATCTTCACCCTAATGATGAACCTTCCTCAAGTCTCCTCTATAACCTGGACACAACATCAGACAAGAAGACTCAGGGAGGCTCAGAGTCAGCACTCAAGTCTGGTCAATCAGCTCCAGTCATGCCTTAAGTTTCATTACACTCAGGGAAAACCTCGATTAAGTATTTTTAAAGAAGAAGAAGAAGAAGAAGAAGACGAAGACGAAGACGAAGACGAAGAAGAAGAAGAAGAAGAAGAAGAAAGAAGAAGAAAAAAGAAGAAAGAAGAAGAAGAAAAAGAAAAAAGAAGAAAGAAGAAGAAAAAAGAAGAAAGAAGAAGAAAAAAGAAGAAAGAAGAAGAAGAAAGAAGAAAGAAGAAGAAAAAAGAAGAAAGAAGAAGAAGAAAGAAGAAGAAAGAAGAAGACCATCACTACAACACCCACACAAACGCGATCAGCAACACCACCAAGACCCCACCACATATTATCACCAAGACCCCACCGCATATTATCACCAAGACGCTATACCTAAGGGACCCACATTAACACCATAGGACCTGTAACATTAACCTTCACTCTCGAGGAATTAACGTTAAAGATAAGAAGTTCCTCCATTAACACCACCAGTTGTTCACACCTCCTCGGGACTCTTCTACTCACAGAGGAGGGAGAGGATTTCAGGGCGCGCATGCCTAATTGGTTGCTGAGGAAGGTGAATTGGCAGGCTTCTCCAGTAGCCTGTTAGGCATGTGCGCTCTGTCTACTCACCACTGACAACCCTCACCCCGCCCGCCCGGCCCTGCTGCTCGCCACCCGTTGTTCACTTGTTGAGTATGTCTTATAAACCCAGCTCACCCACCTGACTTAGACTTTATCTCTGTTTTACTATACGTTCAGCCATCTCTATAAGCCATATATGTCTCATCAGGTTAAATATATGTTCCAGAATCATATAAGTCTCTATACTATACGATCAGCCACCTCTATAAGCCATATATCATGTCTCAATCAGCCTAAATATACGTTCTAGTAAGCCCCAGGGTGTCTGTTGTGGTAGTAAACACGTGACCACCTTCCTGCAGGCGACCTTCGTGGAAGCTCCGGGTATCTTGGAGATGCGACGACCAGGGGAGCGACTATACCCCTACAACGATGTCGTTCAGTGGTTCATTGACCGCGCCGACTTGATCCTCGTCATGTTCGACTACACCAAACTCGACGCTGGCTACGAGCTGGAGGCTATCTTGGACCAACTAAAGGGACGCGAAGCTCAGGTGAGATAAGAGAGTCGACCACACCTGTGCATAATGATACACTGATACCTATGGAGTCTTTATGTGTGTGTGACAAGTAAGTGACACATATTAAGTAACACATTAAGTACACTAGGTGACACAATTGACTTAACATATGTCAAAGTAACAGAACGAGGAAAGTAAACACCAATACTATCATAATGTAAAAAAAAAAGAGATAAATGAAAAAAAGCCTAATGTTTCCACCACGAGAGAGAGAGCCCTGCATCAACAACAACCACCAATACCATAATCCTACATCTGCTCCTCTCCCCCCCCCCACTCCCTCACAGACCCGCATCCTACTGAACAAGGCTGACCAGGTACCAGCCGAGGAACTCATCAAGGTACAAGGCTCACTCTTCTGGAACCTGAGTCCTCTTCTGGGAGTCTCCACGCCGCCCACAGTCTATGCAGGCTCCTTCTCTTCCAAGCCTTACCGGACTTCCTCTCCAGCTCGTCTCTTCCAGGTGAGACGCCTCTATTTAACGGACTGTGTGGGAGAATGTAGTCCGTTATATTGAGGTCCGTTATATCCAGGTCCATTATGATGAGAGCTCTATTTAACGGACTCTATGGGAGGATGTTGTCCGTTATATAGAGGTCCATTATTATGAGAGCTCTATTTAACGGACTCTATGGGAGGATGTTGACCGTTATATAGAGGTCCATTATTATGAGAGCTCTATTTAACGGACTCTATGGGAGGATGTTGTCCGTTATATAGAGGTCCATTATTATGAGAGCTCTATTTAACGGACTCTATGGGAGGATGTTGTCCGTTATATCGAAGTTTTAATGTATCTCGGAAATCTTTTAATCCATTCAGTAATTTGCATATAAGACGATAATTATATGATTTGAATAATTCTTTCGTTTTTAGTAATAATTATATATTAACGTAATTGATAATTTGCATAAAAGACGATAATTATATGAGATTTTAGTAATTACTGAAGTTAATGATACGAGAGAGTGTGTGTGTGTGTGTGTGTGTGTGTGTGTGTGTGTGTGTGTTAGGCTCCCTGTCCACCTGTAACTGTTTGTGAGTAACTTTTGTCGTGCCCCCACAGGCCCAGGAAGAAGCACTGCTCAGCGATATCGCCCTGGCTGTGAACTCTCGTGTTGACAACCGCATCGCTATCGCCCGCAGACACGCGGTGAGTGGCTCTACGGTACACACACACACACACACACACACACACACTTCCTCGTTACTACACCATCATACACCCACTCATGTTACATAACTACAACACCTACACTGCACTATATAACACGGACATAATATTAAATAATGTTTATGTAGTAATTGAGCCTAACTATATGATCTATAACTGGAGGCTAGATAATGCTAAGTGTGTCCAGGGAATTTGGTCCTTAAGTATATCTCAGGAAAGGTTTATAATCACGTGTGTGGTTTTTGTGAGAGCAAGATGGGTGTAAGATGTGGTTTTTACTGTTGTTATGTCTCCTGACGCGGCTCCTGGTGGGTGTTACAGGTGCGTGTGAGGAACCACGCCCAGATGGTAGACACCTACCTCACCACCTACTACAAGAACAAGGGATTCCTCACCAGCAAGCATAAGCTGGTGGAGGACATCACCGAAAACCCTCACACCTACAACATCTACGAGGGCGTCAGCATGTTGACCAATATCTCTCGCTACGATCTCCCTGACCCGGAAATTTACAGGGACTTCTTCAGGTAGGTTCTTCACCTGCTGGGGGTCAACCCTCTCATGGCCGCCTTACTCGCTCTTAATGTAATATCTGTGTTCTTTACTCTTGTAACTATAGTTAGTACAGTAGTTAGACCCATGGTTAAGGGTGAATGGAACAAGACAGGTTTCCTCATTAATGATAAAATGTAACCAGGCCTGCTCCCCTAGTTGCCGAGGGAGAGACGGTCGAGGAACATTGTCAGTATATGAGGAACTTGACGCTGTATATCCTGAGTGTTTATTAACATAACCCCCGAAGAAGAGTGTTGAGGCGGTGTTTACTGACAAGTCTCCCCCCTCCCCCCACAGGGTGCACAGTTTGTTCGACTTCCAGACCCTGAAGGGGACGTGCTCGTTCTTCCGCGGGTGTCCCCTCACCAAGATAGACGCCGCCATCAGCAGTGACCTGCCGGAGCTGCTCGACCGTTACCGTCGCCTACTGGAGGCTGCCGCCTCTGCTCCGACACCCAAATCCAAGGGCGCCACCCCCGTGCCCGTCCCGCCCGTCAGAGGCTCCGTTCCCGCCGCCGCCACCGCTCGTACCTCCTGAGCACCTTGCGTCACGCCCCCGCACGCCCGCAGCTCTTGCAGAGGCGCGGGGGCGCAGCACAGCTGAATTTTGTGTGATATTAAAACTGGAGACGCGACTGGCCCCTAAGCCGCCGTGACCCCAGACGACGTGAGGAGATGGGTGGGCGGGAGTAAGACGGGGTCACTCAGGTCACGCCCCCGCCATACCCCCGCGACGGTGTTGTCACAGGTGTGTGTCATCACCTGCCGACACTAGTTACCCTACTGGAGACTTTACTGCTGCCTCTCTTGGTTCCTGGGTGTGTGAGGCGGCCGCTGTCCCTCACACTGACGGCAACAGACAGGCGGCACCGCCCCTGCATTCCCACCACACCTCCCTGGTCCACTGCCTCGTGACGCTCTTCGTCTCTACTCTCTTCTTTACCAAGTTTTCATCGTCGTCCCTCGCTTGACAGCCTTACAGACGACCCTCAGCTGACCTGCAGGTGGGATGCGGGGAGGCCAGGCAGGGCACGCCCACCCTCCGCCCCACAGCTCGTCCTCGGGCTACTGTTCAGCCCGAGGACAACCTTCGGGCGGGGCAGCGTGGGAGGCCCCTGGCTGCCCTACACCATCAGGAGAAGATAACCTTCATGTCTACACATAAACCTCACTACCATAGGCAAGACTCGAGATTCCTCTCTGTTGTGTCGTCTTAGAGCATTCCAGGTCCGTAGACGGTGACTTACGAGAGGGATTCCTATGTTGAAGACGTTGATGATGACTGTCCCGCCCAGGTGCCGCAGGTGTCGGCGGCCCGCCAGGTTCCCATAGTTTAAGATTCATTGTTGACACCTGTAAACTAATATATCGTGAATGAAGACATCATATACATCAGTGTCCAATTGTCTCACTCATTAGCGGACTGTAAATAATACTTCATTAGCACGTGATGTATATATAATTCGTGGAGTGACGTCATCGTCTCTCAGGTAAGACAGTCTCTCCCCCAGAGAGAGAGACAGAGAGACTGCCCAGAGACCAACACCTGCCGCCCGTGGCCCCGGCACCTCGCTCATGAAACTCAATAATTAGACTTAAGGATTTTATACACGGATGAGTACAATCTAGTCAGCTTGTTCCTTTGTGAAGGATCAGTCTCTGGACGGCCTTCTTGTGTGACTGTTACACCGACTCTCCTGCCAGGGAGTCGCTCATCACCTTCAACTCTCTGCTACATCAAGTAAGGAAACACTCGGCACCATCGCTCGAGGACCAGACTATGGCGGTCATCTGTCGCCAAACAATAACACTCCTGGACGGTGTAGCAGACCCCTAAGGTGTTGGTGAGCGACGCCTGCTGGAGAGGCCTTATGTCCATTGGTCGCTGCACCAGTAGGACTAATGTACATTGGTTGGTCCGGATGTTAGGCGAAATGATCGCTAGTCTCAGCGTATGGACACAACACATGTTGCTTTATGTATGAAGTTACTGCCAGTTGGTTACTACTAAGGCTTACGGCTGCTGCGGCAACAAACACTCACGTCATTAAGTTGACAGAAAAGTTTTTTGTTATTTGAAGGTTTTGTTTGTCAACGGGGCGTGTCAGGTACAGGGCCAGGTGTCCTCCCGTGGCCGGCCTCATGCTACGGCCTCTCATCACGGCCTCACACCATGGCCTCTTGTCATGGCCTCAGACTATGACCACTCACCATGGCCTGACAGGGCCGAGGCACACCTGCCGACCGGCACGCCCGTAGCAGCCTACACACACACACACACACACACACACACACACACACACACACATAAACAAACACACACGCACACACACAAATACACACACACACACACACACACAAATACACACACACACACTTAATGTATCATGTTTTACGAGTGGTTTTTCTACAGTGTATAAAGGAATTTGTATATGATTGTATCACGTCTTGTACATGTCTGTCACGTCACCCTTGACCTACCGTAGACTAGTCAGTAACTACACGTATACAGTAGATGCCGCTAAGGGACCGTAACCTACCCGCCGGGCGCGTGTGAAGCAGCGGCCTGGCGGGAGACCTGTTACTCTTGTTGTTGATGTTAACACGGACGCTGGTCCCCATATTTTCTATAGAGTAGAGTGTTCGGGGGATACTATAGTGCATCTCTAAAAAAATAATAATCATAATAATAATCCCTCGTGTTGTTGTGGTGAGTGTGTGTGTTTGTAGGGTCACCAGCTTCCTGTCGTCACCGCCCCTCTTGGTGAACTCCCCTCTGTCATCTCGTGAAGACTATCGTATGTGTTGACCTTTAGTGAATCCTACGTCCGTTCGTCCCCTTGACACTGGGTAAATAACATAACTACGTAGGGAATGTTATATAATAAACTTGTATCAACCACGACTGTGTTTTGTTGTCCTTGACTATGAGGAGGAGGAGGAGGAGGAGGAGGAGGAGGAGGAAGAGGAGGAGGAGGAGAAAGGGAGAGAGGAGGAGGAGGAGGAGGAGGAGGAGGAGGAGGAGGAAGAAGAGAATATTTAAACTATGATAAAGATAGAATAAGGTGAACACAGATGAGGATGACTATTTATTACCCTGATAAGTATTACTGTACACACACACACCACACACCCAGCACACACCTCCCTCCCCCCACACACCCCCCACACACCTCCCTCCCCACACACCTCCCTCCCTCACACACCCTCCCCCACACACCTCCTCCCCCACACACCTCCCTCCCCCCACACACCTCCCTCCCCCCCACACACCTCCCCCCCACACACCCTCCCCACACACCCTCCCCACACACCTCCCTCCCCCACACACCTACACCGTCATTTTATCACCATATAACAGCAGCAGGAGACACAACCCCTGTATTCCCAACACAGACACTGAAAAACATGAACCTTTAAACAGAGAAGAAGACAAATATATTAAAAAACGAATGTAATGTGTTGGTCTGCTGTGTACCCTGTGGTCTGCTGTGTACACTGTGGTCTGCTGTGTACCCTGTGGTCTGCTGTGTACACTGTGGTCTGCTGTGTACACCTGCTGTGGTCTGTGTACACTGCTGTGTACACTCTGCTGTGTACACTGGGGGCTGCTGTACACTGTGGTCTGCTGTGCTGCTGTGTACACTGTGGGCTGCTGCTGTGTACCCTATGGTCTGCTGTACCCTGTGGTCTGCTGTGTGTACACTGGGGTCTGCTGTGTACCCTGTGGTCTGCTGTGTACCCTGTGTCCTGTGGTCTGCTGTGTACCCTGTGGTCTGCTGTCTGTGGTCTGCTGTGGTACCCTGTGGCTGCTGTGTACACTGGGTCTGCTGTGTACACTGGGGTCTGCTGTGTACCCTGTGGTCTGTGTGTACACGTCTGCTGTGTACACTGGTCTGTGTCTGCTGTGCTGTAAACTGGGGTCTTGTCTGTGGTCTGCTGTGTACTGTTGTGTACACTGTGGTCTGCTGTGTGGTTGTACCCAGTGGTCTGCTGTGCACAGTGGTCTGCTGTGTACACTGGGGCTGCTGTATGGTCCGCTGTGTACACTGTGGTCTGTACACTGTGGGTCTGCTGTGTACACTGTGGTCTGCTGTGTGTACACTGGGTCTGCTGGTCTCTGTGTACCCTGTGGTCTGCTGTGTGCTCTGCTGTGTACTCTGTGGTCTGCTGTGTACCTGTAGGTCTGCTGTGTACACTGGGGTCTGCTGTGTACACTGGGGTCTGTCTGTGCACACTGGGGAGTGGCCACAGGTTCACACTCAGTTGGTCGACGCACTAGGTGGAGGTTTATGTGAAACACACACACACACACACACACACACACACACACACACACACACACACACACACACACACACAGGTAAAATATTTCATTAGTACATAAAGTTCACGTCCCAGGTGTGTGTGTGTGTGTGTGTGTGTGTGGTGAGAGGTAATCAGGTTGCCTTTAAAAACTATGGAAACAGGCCTGTGTGAATGTTTGTTAAAGGTGAGTGGGCTGTGTGTGTGTGTGTGTGTGTGTGTGTGTGTGTGTGTGTCTGGGTCATGGCCGGATACAGCTTAAACCCCTCACTGCAGCGGCCAGAGGAAGCATCACACACACTGGCCTGAAATGGCAGGGAACCTTTTATACCAATCCTGCCCTCCTCCTACCTCTCTCCCCTCCTCTTTATCCCCTTGCTCTATAGGTCTCTGAGTTACTGCACCCCATACACCAAGACCTGGGGGGCGGGGTGAAGGCTACAGCATAAGAGTGAGACCAGAGGTGAGATGAATAGTGAATTGCAGAGACTTTTACCACCCAAACACCCAATGGGAAGTGACTATGTATAGACGACTCAGGACAACACACAATAAAAACATTACCTCACCTCCCTTCCTCATTCTCCCCTCCCACCCCTCTCCCCTCCCCTCCCTTCCCTTCACTTTACCCTCCCTCCCACCCCTCTCTCCTCCATGCACCTCTTCCTCCTCCTCCGTGAGTCACCAACCTTCACCATAACCCAATACATTACCACGTGTGTGTTTATGTATGTGTATGTGTTTATGTATGTATGTGCGTGTGTGTGTTCATGTATGTATGTGTGCAGGCGTTTCTGTAAGTGTATATGTGTCAACAAAGATTCGAACCAGGGACCAATGTTAATCTGCCAATCCAGTTCAATAACCGCCCACCGCCAGGCTCCTACGAGAGAGAGAGAGAGAGAGAGAGAGAGAGAGAGAGAGAGAGAGTTTTAAATATCAAGGTAAAATGGTTCTGAATCATCATCAAACATCATTATAAGAGGCACCTGAGAGCTTGTATCAAACACCTGGAGTTATAAGCAATTAACAGGTACACGATACACCTGAGTTGACCCATCTGCATACATCAACCTAATTACCTGTGTGTGTGTGTGTGTGTGTGTGTGTGTGTGTGTGTAATAATAATAATAATAATAATAATAATAATAATAATAATAATTATAATAATAATAATTAACGGTTTATTGAAAAAATTCTGCAGCCCGAAGGTTGAAAATATACATTGGACATAAATAACTTATTACATACATTGACATTGGTGGTATGTCTGTGTGTGTGTGTGTGTGGAGGTTTTATCACCATCACACACACACACACACACACACACACACACATTAAACCAAACGTCTCTTCCTGTTATTCCCCCCACCCCCCGATAATTACCCCCTTGCCAGGTGTGTGTCATGCAGGTATCACGTCGTGCTGGTATTTACATGTGAAGGAGTTCGACCCAAGATGTTTTAAAGAGTCATATTGATCTGGGTACAAAGCGTGGGTCCGTATCCCTGCACGACTCAAACTGGCTTCGACCTGTGATTGAGGTGAGGTGTGATGTGATGATGGTGTGATGTGTGGTGGTGTGATGGTGTGTGATGGTGTGGTGGTGATGTAGTGTGTGGTGGTGTCATCATCATCTATGGTTCTGTCTAATTCTAATGATTATGATGAATGATAACTAAAATAATGATGATAATGATGATGATAATAATAATAATAAAAATAGTAACAACAACAATAACAATAACAACAATAACAAACGGCAAATTAAATTGTTCAGGTGGGTAGGAGACACTGTAGGGAGAGGAGACACTAGGAGACACTGTAGGGATAGGAGACACTAGGAGACATTGAAGTTCCTGGGAGACTTTCTTTCATCAGCCTTGAGTAGGAGAAGGTGGAGGAGACTTAGCGGGTAATGAAAAGTAAACAGTGTGTGTGTGTGTGTGTGTGTGTGTGTGTGTGTGTGTGTGTGAGAGTGAGAGTGTATGATTGTGTGTGAGAAAGAAAAAAGAAACGAAAAAAAAGGAAAAAAAACCCAAAGAAACAAAAAAGAAACCAAAAAAAAAAAGATATTGAAACAAATAAAAAATAAACAAACAAACACAAAGTAAAGACACACACACACACACACAATAAAACCTCCCTCCCACTCTTTATCACAACAACACACCCCATTTTCTATAACACACTCCAATCAAATCATTTCCTTCATCACAGCCAAAGAGCCACAGAACCACCTCCCACACCTCGCCTCCGCCACCTGATTAAACCTGGTTCTCTACAAAGTTACAATTCCACACACACACAAAAAAATTCCTTGGACACTTGGGTACATCTGGCCTGAGCTTCTGAGTCATATTAATCATCAATTTATTATCTAATCATTCTATTGATCATCATATATATTAGAAAATCACAATAGATTACAAAAAAAAAATACTTAAATATGAAGAAAACATCGTGAAAATATGTTTAAATTTTAATCGCGTTCGTCCAGGGAATTTTCATCCGTAACTGTACATCATTAAGCAGTGTATTTCCCATCGCCTGAACCGGTACTGAGTGTGTTGGGAATTGATGGAAGTTGGTGTGTGGTTTCCTGTTAGAATTAATCTTCCAGTTTAATCCTAATCTAACCTCACTTTAGGTCGTCTAATCTAGCCAAATGTCACGTTACTTAACCTGACTTTATTTAACCTAACCTGAGGAGGAGGAGGAGGAGGAGAAGTTAGGAGGAGAAGAAGGATAAGGGAGAAGAGAGGGTTAGGGAGGAGGAAGGCAGGAGGAGGAGGCGGGGGATGAAGGAGCAGAAGGGGGGATGGAGGAGGAGAAGGGGATGAAGGAGGAGAAGGGGGATGAAGGAGGAGAAGGGGTAGGAGGAATGGGGAGGAGGAGGAGAAGGTAGAGGAGGCATCATTTTAGGCAGGTCCCTCTAAGAGCCTGAATTAAGATGCCGGAAGAGCACGTCCCTCATAATGCGACTGGCCCGCCCTCCCTCCCTCCTAGTGACCTTCCTTCCCTCTCTGCCTCCTAGCGGGTGTTCATCATAGGACCACACGGGCTAAATACCTGTGACCTTTGACCCCGTAAGTGAAGACTTAAAAGAGGTCAATTAACTCCCTGACCTCTGACCTCTTGAGATATTTTCGACAGTACATAAATTAATTCAAAGAAAATAGAAAAACACACACATACACACGCACACACGCGCACACACGCACACACACCACTAGCAACCAGCCAGCCAAACACCTCTGCCTTCCTCCCAGCACACACACACCTTCACCTTGCACACATACCTCTGCCCAGCGCATATCAGAGACAGGTACTGGAAGGTATCACTACACGAAGAGTATACGTGTGAGTAACCTAACCTAACCTAACCTAACCTAACCTAACCTAACCCAACCCACCCCTTTTCACCCCCCTTACCCACCACCTCCACAAACCCCCTATGCACACACACTCAAGTCAACACACACAGACGACAAACCATAACAGTAATAATAATAATAAATTCGTCCATCCCTTGAGAGTGAAGCTGTCCCGAGGGGCGTGAAACTGTCGGGCGGTGTCATAATGATTAATGAGGGC